CCGGAGTCCGTCAAGTTTGCTGACCTCCGAAAATATCGGCTATTCGGTCAAAATCAGGTTTTACGTTTTTCTAGGGTTTACTCCAAAAAATTCAGATAATCTCAATCAAATATCAATAAGAAAACAAATATCTCGTGATTACAAGAATAATCCAAAATTTTTGCAAAGTTAATTCACTAAACAGTAGTGTAGTTTTTCAGGCAATCACAAATACATGTAATTCCAAAATGCACATAAACACGATATTCTTGTTTCATGAAAAGCTCAGTTATCGAATCAGATGTGAGTGGGCTCTGATACCAATTGATGGATTATTCTATTCAGCGAAAGCAATCTCAGTATCAAAATCACATGTAATCTAGACAACTAGTGTATACGGGGTTTCACGGGTTACCTCTTGAAGCGTGAACATATCTCTTCTATCACGTGAGCCTTCAGTTCCAAAACTTCTCAATGAAATCTCCATCACCCGCACAATCGTGATCTCCAAACGTTCCACGGTCTTCTACTGTGTTACCCAAATAATATCCAGAAATAGTAATTTCGTGTGGGCTAAATTTTTCTAGGAAATTCGGCCACCATGTACTACTCCTCCAAGTAGAAAACCTTATGTATTTATAGCACATGTTTTAAGAGTTAAAACCCTTTTCCAAAACCTGTTGGGTTTTCTTTTCCACCGGAAAAAGGATTTCTTTATTTCCTATTATTCAGGCACAGTAGGGACCACAAAATTTAATTAACAAAGCTCTAATTATGGAATTAATTTCTAATTTTCGAAATTAATATCTACCATAATTAATTACGAATTATTCCACTAAAAATTCGTAATTGCACTCCTTATTCAATTTCCATATTCATTCATTAAATCTTATATAACTCCTCATGTTAAGATTCAGATACTAATCAATCAAATTAAATTAATGACGATTTAATTTATCGATTATTTCCTTTAAACTTTCGCTTAACTTATTTCATGTGCCGGATAAAAAATCCACCGGCCGGGTTTACACATGAAAACTTATAAGCTTTCATAAAGGTGTATCACCAATCTCTAAACCGAGACATGGATTCTATCAACTAACTATTACTTCGCCAATGTACATTATTATTATCCAATTAACCAAGCATATTGACCCACGAAAGAATCTCGCCTTTTAATAAATCAAAATAATAATAATGTACACAGTTAATAATAATTATATCAAGATTAAGAGTATAAGTACATTTAATAGCTAGAGAGTTTATTTTATTAGGTCAGTATAAAATACTTATCTCTACTCGGTCCGTTCAATACATACAAAATGTACTAGCACAAAAAGTTGGAATTAAACCATTCCCATAATCAGGATAAATTACATCTAATCTTGTGCTACAATCATCCCTCATGGGTTGTCCAATTCCATCATTAGATTGTGAACTCAAACTTTATACTTATAAGAACCGATGATTTAATCTTCCGTGTATAAGCTAAACTATATACATTAAATCATCTACTATATAAGCAAAGGACACAGACTAATATATAATCTATTTAAAACTTTATTAAAATTAAATAAATAATTATTCCATAATAAATACTATATCTAAACCAAACCCATGATTAATAGTATATATCCCAACTATATGAACATGCTTGATTGCATTATACTCTTTTGCCTTAATTTGTGTTGTCAAACTTCTCTTCGACCATTTCTGCAGTTTGTCGTGTAAGAATTGAGGATAAGATTTGATATTTATGGCAAAAGTCCAAGTAAAATGCTTGGTGACAGCTATACTAATTCACAAAGTGTGGGCAATCTTAAGATTTTGCATTATGCTAGTTAGTACACAATTTTTGAATCTGAATCTTATTTCATCTTCTGTTCTAATTGATATCTAATCTCTATTGCAATTTTTATTTGTTATTTCGTCTTGGAATTTTTGGACAAAAAGAAAGAAAAATAAGTTAGAGATGATCATCGCAATCGTCCAATACAACCAATTTTGTTTCCCTTGTGTTCACATGTATGTGTGTATTCATGGTTAAAAGTTTAACCGAAAGATCCGCCTCTGCAAATGCTTCCTCAAATAGTACTGGAGATTGATCCAGGGGTGGCTCAAGAGGTAGGCTAGTAAAGCATCTGCTTTAGGCTCCCTAAATTTTGAGGCCCCAAAAATAATTATGAATTTTCTATCTTATTTTTGCTTAGACATTATTGAAGTTCATACAAACTCCTTATAAAAGTAGAAATAAAGACTGTCTATTTTTAACAATAGAAATAATTTAGAACTTTGAATTAAGATACTCAAATCTTCATATTGGTAAATAATATTTTTTACAATAAGATCCATGGTAACACATTGTAAATACGTGGCTAACATCTTAGTAACTTGAATTTTCTTACCAATATAAATATTTGTACTACGTATTATATTTTTTAAGATAACTAAATTACAGACAAAAAGAAAGTAAAAAACCAAAGTAAATATTAGTATTGCATTTTGTAAAATAACTACAATATAAAAAGACAGATATAGAGTAACTCTGCCCCAAAAGCTTAAGCAAATGGGAAAAATTAGTTCTTTTGCTTACTCCTTTCTGCCAAACAAATTTAGCGGGAGATAGAGAACACCAAAGTTTAGCGTGTTTTCACATTCTATTCCATCCATCTTTCATTCTTTTGCTGGTGCAGAGAAAGTCTTAGAGTAATAGTTTTTGATACTCCAGTATGGCCCATTAGTTATAGTCCCTTTAAAAGCCAGGTTTACATGTTTCAATTCTTATAAAATCTACACTGATGTTCTCTGAATGATTTGTCATTACCTAATCTTCTATCCTGAATGGTAACCATACAATAATAAGCTTGACTAAGGCCTTATTAATCTTTAATGTTTAGAGTGGAGGATAAGTTTGTGAAGTAGTGTGCTTCTAATTGATCATGTTGTAAACACCAGGATTTCTGTTCTTCTCTCTTCAGTTTAGTAACTGACTCAATCCGTGTAAAGCTTTTACCATTATTGACTGCCTTTTCATGATGCAACTTCTTGTTTCTGATTCTTGATGGCAGTTTACATTACGTGCTTGATTGAGGCTAACGACACTTTTATGTCTAAAAGTAGATGTGGAGCCCTAAATTTGTCATGGGTCATGGGTTCTTTTTTTCTCTCTCTTGGGAGATGTGCTAACTATATTTCTCTTTCCTCTTCTCTAATCCAATTAACTTTTCCGGCGAGATTCTAAAGCTATTTCTGGTCTCCTTACTTCAATTATTCTTTCTTTCTTTTCTACTTCTTCTCTTGCCATTAGTTTCTTTCCCTTCTTTCAGTCTTATTGCAATCACTGAGTAACTTAAGCCTAGCTATACGACGACGAGAAAGGTGATTGTTATAAAGCTGATTGAGTCTTCATGGCAAGGAATGCTTTCTTTTTTTGTGGGAGGTAAATCTTTTGAAATTAGGGGAAATGGAGACAATTGGTACGGGATTATTGAGAGAAGGAGAAATTTTGTTAACAGATTAACTGTTGATAGGATTAATCTTCTGGAGGTTTGCAAATACCTTAAACTTGCTTCAATTGGGAAAGGAAATATTGTTAGAAAGTGAAAGATTGAGGATCAATTGTATTTGTACTCTATCTTTCAAAATTTTAATGTGTATGAAAGATTAATCAGAATAGTGTCACAAAAAGAAAAGAAGAAGTCAACCATAATCATTCCAGAAATTGACATTTATGCAGGATGGGCTGATGTTGCTGAGAAGATGATAAAGTTTTTGGAGAAATAAGTAAGCCAAAACAAAAATTGCAATCAGGTGCCGCAAAAGAATGAAAGCTATGTAGAGATTGCTAAAATCAAAAGCTGGCCCAAGGATGAAGTTAAAGTAGTAGAAGGTGTCAGAAAAGAACAGAATGTGATCGTCATTGACAAAAGTTCCTTGAAGTCTAGGGTGGAGTATCTGCAAAGATGCCTGGTTGGGTATTTTGGAAGTGTAAACTCGACCATTCCCAGTAAGAGTGAGGTCTTAATGTGGGCTGAAAAATCATGGAAGATTCCGGCAGGGGTTAAAGTTAAAGAGTTAAATGGAGTCCTCTTTTTATTTGAATTTCCTTCAAGAAAGGAAGCTGAAAGAATTAAAATGGGTGGATGGTCTCTTAATCACTGCAAACTACATTTGGAATGGTGGTCGCTGGTAAGTCTGTGTCATCGGAAAATTGGTGCCCCAATTATATCTGGATTAAACTTCTGGGCTTCCCAACCCATCTATGGTCAGATAATATCTTTCGAACTATATGGGAGAAGCTGGGTGAATTCATTGAAATGGATGAAGATACCAGATAAAGAAAGCACATGAGATGGGCCAGAATCTGTGTTCGATATTCAGATGTCAGAGTACCAAAAAATATAAAATTAGTAGTGGATGATTTAGTGTTCATTGTCCCAGTACTGGTGGAATCTAATGCTTGGGTTGAAAAAATTGATCGGAAAATTGTTGGAAATCGCCAGCGAGACTGGGAATATAAATAGGCAGCGCAATTATAACAGCAGAAGAAGCCGCAGGTTCCCAATGGAGAATTTTCATTAATAGCAGACACGCGTGGCAAGCGTGACAGCTGATATAATAAGCAAGATGTTGGAAATTTGCAAAGGGACCAAAGAATAAATAGAGATCCTCGTAGAGCAAACCCTAGAATAAATAGGAAGAAGTCTGATAGTGAACATGTTGTTCCAAGTCATAATATGAAAAAGGATTTTAAAGGAAAAGGCTCATATATTGATAAAATACAGAGGCCCAAAAAAGTTGCTTAGATTTATAGGCCCATTAAGAAGCCTATCCTGGAAATGATGATAAAATAGGAGATGTTGGACAAAAGGAGGGTCCAGTTAAAATAGGTGGTGCATCTGAATTCTGAATTATCTGTGGGCCCTATTAATACAAGCCCATTGAGTGTATTAAGTCCAAGTGTTCCGACAGGACTGATTAATCAGAAAGAACAGGAGACCCGACCCAGTTGCTCTTATAAAGTGAATATATGTCTTCCTGATCCCCGCTCTTGAGGAACCGCTTCTCTCTTCTGAGCCCTAATCAATTTGCAATTGTACCAGTAGAGTGCAGCAAATTCTTTGAAGAGATCGAAGAGATCGACAGAAAACATAAAGGTGAGTGCAACAACAAAAGAACATCCAATAGAGCCAAACTTGGAGATGATTGTTCAAGAGTCTTCTGGTCCTGTAATTAATTTTTTTGATGAGGATGAAATTCCATATAATGAAGTGGAAAATATACATGCAGTTGATTCTCCTTCTCAGATATTAATGCTTCCTTGGTACGAAAATGGCCCATGCAATATCCAGGAGAGACTAAACTTCATTGATGCTTCTCGCTGGGTGAAATCGAACATGCTAAAGTTATGTCGTCAATTGGGTGTCAAGGCGGATGATCAGGAGAATGATTTGCGGAACCTTCTCATGAGAATTGAAAGGAGTAGATTAGCAAGACCTAAGCCACAAAACAAAAGCCCATCTCCACATAAGAGGAATCAACGGGAAATAGAGGGTTTGAAGAATTTTGGGGTTAATTATGGGGATGAGCCAAAAAGCAGAGATCGAGGAAGGAAGGCCATTACAAATAGAAGATGAAGATTAAAATCTTATGCTGGAATGTCAGAGGGTTGAACGAGGCAGAAAAAAGGAGGCTAGTGAAGTCACTGATAAAAAAGTGGAACACTGATATTGTTTGTTTGAGCGAGACAAAACTAAAGCAGTGCAATTGTTCTTTGATGAGGCAGGCTGTGGGAGGTAGATGGACAGACTGGTTAGAGCTTAAAGCAAGAGGAAATAGTGGTGGAATCTTACTTATGTGGGATAAAAGGAGATGGAGTTATAATGAGAAATTGGTGGGGGAGTATTCAGCAAGTGTTTTTTTGGAAGATAAAAATTCTGATTTTAAATTTTCTTTCTCTGGGGGTATATGGGCCTTGTGATAGAAAGAGGAGGAGAGAACTATGGAAAGAACTTGGGGCAGTTGCAGGTTTAGAAGATTGGCCTTGGGTAGTTGGAGGCGATTTTAATATCACAAGGTTTGAGGATAAAAGAGCCGGAAGGGCAAAAAATACTATGGCTATGAGAGATTTCTCAAGGTTCATTGATGATATGGAGCTAATTGATCTTCCTTTACATGGTGGGCAGTACACGTGGTTCAGAGGCAATAATGAACATTCAGCCTCAAGAATAGATAGATTTTTAATTTCAAGTCAACGGGATAATTCCTTCAAAGCTATTAAACAAAGCGTGCTACCTAGGGTGGAATCAGACCATTGTCCAATACTATTGGAGTGTGGGGAATGGGAGAGAAGTAAAGGGTATTTCAAGTTCGAAAATATGTGGTTTGAACATGTTAATTTTATAAGCACAGTGGAGAAATGGTGGAATTCGTATGATTTTCAAGGAAGACCAGATGTGGTTCTAGCAAAAAAGCTTAGAAAGTTAAAAGAAGATTTAAAGAAGTGGAACAAAGAAACTTTTGGGCACCTGGGAACAAGAAAAGACCAGATCTTGCATCAATTGGAGATGGAGCAGCAAAATGATAATCATGATAGTAACACATAGGAAGAAGAACCTGCTAAAAATGCATTAATAAATGAGTTGCATCACATAGCTAAGGTAGAAGAGATACATTGGAGGCAAAAATCCAGATTTTTATGGATTAAGCAAGGGGATAAGAACACCAATTTTTTTCACAAAATAGCAAATTCAAATAGGAGATGTAATTGGATTGATAAGCTAGAAATAGATGGGGACTTCACAGATGACAAAAATTTGATTAGAAACAACATACTTGAGTTCTATAAAGATCTTTTTTCAGAAAAAGAGAGCTGGAGACCTTCATGGAATTGTTCAGAACTTGCTAGCATCAGTGACCAAGAGAAAGAGTGGTTGGAGAGACCTTTTGATGAAATAGAGGTAACAAGAGTAGTTAAAATGGTAGAAGGGGATAAGGCTCCTGATCCAGACGGCTTTAATATGTGTTTCTTCAAAAGATGCTGGCATATTGTGAAAGAAGATGTTCTGAAGACATTTGAGGTGTTTCACAGAGAAGGAGAATTTGTCAGAAGTTTTAACTCAACCTTCATTGCTTTGATGCCAAAGAAGAAAGGGGCTGCAAACATCAAGGAATTCAGACCTATTAGTTTGCTTGGGAGTATATACAAGTTGATAGCTAAAGTCCTTACTGAGAGAGTGAAGTTGGTGATTAACAAGTTGGTCTCTGAGAATCAGAATGCCTTTTTGAAAGGTAGACAAATTGCAGATGCATCACTGTTGGCAAATGAATGTATAGACTACTACTGGAAAAGAAAATTGCCTGGTGTGGTGTTCAAATTGGACTTAGAAAAGGCCTATGATCATGTCAATTGGCCTTGTCTGCTGAAGTTGCTGTAAAAGATGCATTTTGGGGTAAGTGGATTCAATGGATAAAATTTTGTGTCTCCACTACAAAGTTCTCAATACTAATCAATGGTAGTCCAGTAGGTTATTTTAGTTCTCGAAGAGGTTTAAGGCAAGGAGACCCTCTGTCTCCCTACTTGTTTCTTCTAGTAATGGAGGTGTTGAGTCAGATGTTTAAAACTACTGTGAGAAGTGGATGGATAAAAGGCTTTAAAATGGAGGGTCATTCGGGAAATAATATAGAAATTTCTCATAGTCTTTATGCTGATGATACCTTGTTGATGTGTGAGGCTGATAGAAATCAAGTGTTGCACTTGAGTGTGGTTTTGTTTGCGTTTGAAGCTGTGATTGGATTAAAAATAAACCTGGCCAAGAGTTCAATGTTTTCTTTGAATGCTGACAGTGATATTAATATGTTAGCTGATATCATGGGTTGCAAGGTTGAAAAGTTTCCTACTACCTATTTGGGATTGCCTTTAGGTGCAAAATTCAAGGACAAATCAGTGTGGAATGGTGTAATTGACAAGTGTGAAAAATAATTGGCTCCTTGGAAGCAACAATACTTATCACTTGGGGGCAGATTGACATTAGTAAACAGTGTTCTTGATGGAATATCAACCTATCTAATGTCTCTAACTCCTATACCAGCTAGTGTGGAGAAGAAAATTGATAAAATTAGGAAGAAATTTTTGTGGGAAGGTGATACAAAAAGGAGAAAATATCATTTAGTAAAGTGGAGCATTGTGACAAAACATAAGAAAGAAGGGGGTCTGGGAGTTAGAAATCTTAGAGCTCACAATCAAAGCTTGCTATGCAAATGGCTATGGAGGTTAAACGATGGGATAAAAGCTCCCTGGAAAGCAGTGGTGGAGGTGATATATGGAAAAGAGGGTTTCTTTGCACCTAAAAAAGTAAAAACTCCGTATGGGGTAGCAGTATGGCATAATTAAGGGAGAACTTGTGTCTTTAGCCGGCAACATTTCTTCAAATAGTAGTTTATAACCTGAAAGAGTGGAGCTTGGTCTGTGATGCTAAAATATGATAGAATCAACAGAATTTCTTTCCCCATACAATTGTACTAATGAACTTTAACCTTTCTTTCCCCATACAATTGTACTAATGAACTTTAACCATGTTTCTGTCTCTTCCTAGCTTATTTGGTTTTCGTTTGGTATTTTATTTTGTCTTAGGTTGGCATATATGGTTATACAGCTTATTCAACCAGTAAGTTTGGCCTCAAAGGACTGGCAGAAGCATTGCAGCAGGAGGTTATTGGTGAAAATATTCACGTATCACTAATATTTCCCTCGGACACTGAAACTCCTGGATTTGCTGAAGGTTTGACATGAGAATGGATCCCACTCTGTTTCTTCTGGTTGTTATTGCCGCATGTCACATNGCCTTTAGGTGCAAAATTCAAGGACAAATCAGTGTGGAATGGTGTAATTGACAAGTGTGAAAAATAATTGGCTCCTTGGAAGCAACAATACTTATCACTTGGGGGCAGATTGACATTAGTAAACAGTGTTCTTGATGGAATATCAACCTATCTAATGTCTCTAACTCCTATACCAGCTAGTGTGGAGAAGAAAATTGATAAAATTAGGAAGAAATTTTTGTGGGAAGGTGATACAAAAAGGAGAAAATATCATTTAGTAAAGTGGAGCATTGTGACAAAACATAAGAAAGAAGGGGGTCTGGGAGTTAGAAATCTTAGAGCTCACAATCAAAGCTTGCTATGCAAATGGCTATGGAGGTTAAACGATGGGATAAAAGCTCCCTGGAAAGCAGTGGTGGAGGTGATATATGGAAAAGAGGGTTTCTTTGCACCTAAAAAAGTAAAAACTCCGTATGGGGTAGCTGTTTGGAGACAGATTTGTAACCTATGGGAGAAATTTAACATGTATGTTGGCTTGAGGGTGGGCAACGGGAAAAAAACAGACTTTGGGAAGATAATTGGGATGGTTCTGGTCTGCTGAAAATTCAATTTCCCAACCTGTACAGATTGGCCAATAATCCAAAAATCCTCTTAGCTGATATATTTACTGATACAGGTTGGGACTTCCAGTT